CCTTCCAGATCCTAGTGCGCTTCCTCTCCGCACTCCATCCGTCCGTCTGTCCGTCCCTCCCTCCTGCGGGACTCCATCTCTTCACTACCACAGCTCAGCTCATGACGGACTGAACCTCCAAGCCGCGCACACTTGTCAGGGGCCCTAACGAGTCAGCAGAGGGGAGGGAGGACCGTGTACAGGTCACGGAGGGCGGGCGGTGGCGCCACTTACAGATGGACATGCAGTGGTGGTGCAGCTTGTTGCGGCAGCCGTCCTCGCACACGGTCAGGCTCTCCTCGTCCAGCATGCCCAGCAGGCAGATGGGGCACAGCTGCTCCTCCTCGTCCTTGAGGCTGCAGGGGCGAGAGGGCAGGGGTGAGAGGGCAGCATCAGCTGGGCGAGGGGCTGAGCCAGCGCCACGGGCACGTGGCCTCAGAGTGCGACCGGGGAATCCCGCTTGGCAGCACCCGTGTGCGAGCCCCTGGCTACGGTTTTCTCCCGTCACTCCATCTTCCTTCAGACTCACACCGTGCGCATCTGCAGGCCTTTCCCGACTATGGATACGATGTAGGAACCACAACTTATGAGGTCAGTAACCCGACATCCTGCCCGGCATCTTCTGAATAAACAAACTGCTGTGACTCTGCGCGCACACGCCGCACGCCCCACCTCAAGGCTGCGAGGGCTCAGCAGTCCACGCCCCAGAGTGAAGGCCACTTCGTGCCTCTGCTGGGTGTGTGAACGGCCCCCCCTCCTAGAACACATCTCTAACGCACACACCTTCACCTGGCTTCCAGGAACATGGCGTGAGGAACAGAGGCAACACACGCCCTGGGCATGTCCACTGCAGCGCTGTTCAGCACAATGGGAAAAGCCAACCACACGAACACCAGGAGGTTAAGAAAGGCAGGTCCCCAGACACGCTGATGGGAGGAGAGCGGCACAGCCACCACCAGGCACCATGACGCCTTTACGAAGGACCAGGGCCCACAAACAGTAACCAGGAAGATGCCCACGTAGACCATATGGGGATGAAAGCAGATTTGAGTGAAATAGTCAGAGGAAGACAAGTTTCACACGCCCTCACTCATGGAGAATCTAACGAGCAGAATAACTGACGAGCAAAACCGACCGAGGCATGGCAGCATGAAAGACTGTGGAATCTCAGAGGGTAGGGGTCGGGGGGAGAGAGATCGACCAAAGGACTAGATGCACAGATGCCCAGCCGCGGACCGACAGCAGAGCAGTGAGGGCCTGGGGAGGGGTCGATGGGGGAAGCGAAGGGGGAACATCTGTCATACTTTCAACAGTAAAGATAAAAGAAAAGAAAGCAGCATGACAGAACTCAAACTCGTACAGGATGGTACCATTTGTGGCAAAATTGCCACTTTATTGTGTATACTTGAATTATATTGTATACACACATGGATATTCCTAATATACAAAGTGCTTTCAAAATCAGTAAGAAAAATACTAATAACTCACTACTAAAATGGGCAAAGAAGATAAAAAGGCAATAAAACCAATAACCATGAGAAAAGTACCAAGTGCATACTGAATTAATGATGCCATTTTGTCCTTTGGGGCGAATAGTCTGACAGATACGATGGATTAGGCTATGACATGCCCGGGTCCCGACAGACACGGCTGGGAGAGGGCGGCCCCCATGACCGGCGGGCGGTGCAGCCGGCGAGAGGGCTCTCAGGACCTTCATGATGTGCTGAGTAGCTTCTGAAATCATCTGAGCAGAGGGCAGGGACTAGTATTAGCCTGCGGCCAGGTTGTCAATTAAGTTTTATTGGAACAGAGTCACCTCTGTCCACTCACAGATCATCTGTGGCTCCTTCAGCTACAAGGGCAGAGCCAAGCAGCATGGGCGAGGTTCACCGCCCTCCAAGCCCAAGTATTTAACATGTAAAGTCCCTGCAATAACACCACCTGTTAGTACCCGGTACAGCTTTTACTCATTCCAACAGTTACACACCTTCAATGCCTTTTACATATAAAAATGGGGTTCGTGCCTATAGTATTAGGACCTGGACTCTGTTTCATGCTGCTCAATATTCTTCAAAAGTATAACTTCAGTGGCTGCACAAACAATTCGGAACACGAGTGTGCTTTAACCTTTCTCGCTGGGTGTTTAAGCTGTTCCCAATTTTAATATCATGAGACACAGCCGTCTCTGCCGGTCTGTGCATTTCTCAGATTAAAACTTTCTTCTTCAAGAAGAGAAGCACGGGCCTCGCTGGTGTAAATGTCCTTGCCCAGTGGACGGAGCGTTTCAGTGCCTGACCAGTACCCACCTGCTCTCCGCACTGGCCGTGGCCGCGCTCGGCGAGGACAGCGTGTGGGAGCTGGACATGCGGGACACGAACTTCTGGATGGTGCTACGCGAGGGAGCTTTGATCCTTGAGCTACGCCTGCTGTGATATTTCTGGAACAAACTCTCAACCTACCATTGAAGAGAGAGTAACAATGACATCTGTGCCATAACAGACACAGGAACAGTCCTAGAGGTTGAATTATTTGTGTTTTGTTTCAAAGTTTTTCATAAAGACACCGAAGAGCTTCAGAATGAAGAACGCACACACCTTCCCACGGACAGTGTGACTACACGCAGCGCTTACTGGTTTTCAGACTAGAAGACTAATTCATCAACGGATTACCAGAGAACTACTTATAGCCTGGAACCTACTAAATGACAGCTTAAATTGAGAGCTCATGGAACATTTTTAGAACTATATCATAAAAATTTGTTGAAAAGTTGACTCTAAAGTATTTATTTAAAATTACCTCAAAATTCTTTAAAGTTTTCCTCCACAACATTGGGTCAGAAGGTTCCAGCTGAAACACGCGGAGCATGACGAAGAGCAGGTGGATGCAGAACGCGCCACGCCCACAGCTGCAGTTCTGCGGGGACACGGGGATGTGCCCAAAAGGCTCAGCGGGCACTTCTTAAAAAGTGTCTCCACGTCTATTGTACTCAAGTTTCTATTAATTGACAGGCACGAAAGTCTACAGCTATCTCCACAAATTAAATCTCTGATTTTTGGTAAACTTATTAAATAGAACAAATTTGTAGTCTAAAGTATACTAAGTCAAGAGTAAAATCTCCATAAATACATTAAAAATAGGTATTAGCCGGCCTTAGCTGGTGTGCTCAATGGTTAGAGCATTGGCCCACCACCAGTCTTGGGTTTGATTCCCAGTCAAGGGCACGTACTTGGGTTGTAGTTTTTTTAAAAAATAATTCTTTATTGTTGAAAGTATTACATATGTCCTTTTTTTTTATCCCTTTGACCCCTTTCAGCTGCCCCTCCCCCCCCATTGTCTGTGTCCATGGTTATGCACATGAATTGCAGGTTTGATCCTCAGCCCGGGTCAGGGCATGTGCAGGAGGCAACCAATGATGTCTCTCCCTAATCAATGTTTCTCTCCCCGACTTTCCACTCTCTCTAAAATCGATGGGAAAAATATCCTCGGGTGAGGATAAAAAAACAACAAAAATTGTTTATTAGCCCAAAATGTATTTTAAACTCACGCGTTAGTTTACTGAGTTTCAGAAAGCTGAGCGGGTGGCGGTCGGAATAGAGACACGCGGACCAACCTGCGGCCCGATGAACACGCGGTACTTGTTGTCCGGGCTGTCGCCTCCGATCAGGAAGGAGTTGGGGCCGATCTGCTGCAACAGGTAGAGCCGGGCACGCATCACCTTGTTCACCCGGCGGCTGGTCTCCTCGGGGCTGTACGGCGAGAAGCCGTCGGGGGACGGGGCTCTGCGCGGCGGCGTGGTCCTCCCGCTCTGAGACGGCACAGTATCGCGTGTGTTAGGACAATGGCTCACTTCTCCAAAGAAACAACACCCCCATGTCCTGCCAGCTGCCACAGGGCATTGCATATCTGACATCACGGAACGGAACGCGTGTCCGACGCACCTGGGCGGTCGGTCGGTTACACACGCGTCTGAGGGTCCCAGAAACAACACGTTTGCTAAACATGAACTTACCGGCACCGGGGACGCGCGCTTCCTCCTCACTCCGGGAGACTCGGCCTTCACCGGGCGCCCGGCCAGAGAGCCGCCGGGGGACGGGCTGCGGCGGCCTTTGGGAGCCGGGCACACGCTCGCCTGGGCCTCTCCTTGCGACTCAGCTGCCACGTTGTTCATTTCAGACCCGTCTCCTTTCACAGGGATTGGCTTGACCACCTGAAGGAAATGCCAGTGTCCCGATGACTTAAAAACACAGGAAGCAAACCTGAAGGCCACAGACTAGGAACCCATGAGGCTCACGGCACACGTTAACGGCAGCTCATCCGCTGTCACTCAGCAGGACTTCACCACGAAGGCAAGATGTTATCCCCACAGACGTTGGGGAAATGTTTATCATTTCCGAAGCAGATGCAGTTTACCAAACCTGCCGTTCCTAACCTGGGCTTTCAGACCCAGCCCTGCGGCCTCGGGCCAGTCCCAGCTCAGCCGGCCAGCCCGGCTCCCTCTCCGCCGACCACTGGCCATCAAGCATCTGCAATGTGGCCAGTGTGACTGAGGAATGAAATTCTTACTTTTATTCATGTTTAAAGTTAAACAGGCACATAGGGTGAATCCAGGGCTAGTTAATCACTGGGCAGGGCTGTGGCTGAGGGGTTTCCAATACCAAATGAACGGTTTGCTCGGTAACTTTTATGATTCTAGCCACTTCCCTGCCCACCGACACACACACGCACATGCACACGTGTGCACACATGCATCTCCAATGGCATCTGTTCATAAAGAAGGAGCGAACACTCTGGTGAGCACGGGGCCTGGGGCCCTGGACACTGGGCCCTGGCCCTCCGAGAGGCGGAGGCAGCATGTCCCGGGTCCGAGGCAGGCCTGCCCATCTTGCTGCATGCGGCTTTCCTGCGCCTCACAGATGTGCTTTCTACAAACGAAGGCGCCCCCTCCACCTGCAGAAAGACTACGGCTGCTCCGCTGGGTGGCTGGGGCCGACCCGCCACGCCTCTGAGGCCGCCTGGACTTTACAGGGAAAACCGCGGCCCCTCCTAACCTGGGCTCTGGGCGGCTGCCCCCACCTGGGCATCCTTTTAATTGATCTCAAACCCGAGTCTACTTCATGTTTTCTGATTTCCTGAAAGATTCCTGGAATTAAGATCCTTGGATCCTACCTTAGTGATAAAGCATCAGAAGAAAATTGGAAAGACTGCTTTTCTTTTTAAAGTTCTAAGACCAGTGGGACACTAAGGCTTTCGGGTGCTGGCAGTAGGGGGCAGTGCTGCCCAAGCATTCCGGCCCGCAGGCTCCCACTCCTGGCTCAGTGAGCAGGGTCAGCAGGTACAAGAGCAAGCAGACCGCCTGTGCACCTGGACTGAAGTCCCCCCAGCTCCCAGCCGACGCCCCTCCTCCCGCCCTGCGGCCCCGCTCACCACCGGGCCCCGGCGGCTCCGGCGCTCCAGCCACTCGTGCCGCCAGGCGGGCATGCAGGTGGCCTTCAGCCTCTCGCGGATCACGCGCTCCTCGGGCCGGTCCTCCATCCTGTGCAGCCCCCGCAGCGTGTCCTTGCTCTCCATCTCCGGCCTGCAGTGGGCGGGGCAGAAGGTGACAGATGAGAGATAATTTGTGAGAACAAGTAAAACAAGAGTTTATACTTTCCATGGACACGTAACTACAAAGGTCACGGCTACACCCCGGGCACTTCAGAGGGCGTGTGAGCATCACTGTGGCCCGCGTCCTGCTCGCTGCAGAGTTTACAGGCACCGGTGCTAGGGCTGCCGGGGGGCACGGCTTCACGCCTCTAAACAGGAAGGCCCCAACCAGTGGTCGGCAAACTCATTAGACAACAGAGCCAAATATCAACAGGACGACGATTGAAATTTCTTTTGAGGCCAAATGTTTTAACTGAAACTATATAGGCAGGTACATTGTTATTAACTTAATTAGGGGGCTCCTATGGCTTAGGAAGAGCCACACTCAAGGGGCCAAAGAGCCGCATGTGGCTCGCGAGCCGCAGTTTGCCGACCACGGCCCCAACCCGTCCTGCTCACCAGCACTCAGCCAGGGAAACTCGGAAATGCTCAAGCAGAGCCCTACGGTCCCCTCTAACTTCGATGCATTTCTGCGATGGTTCGTCCTGAGCTCGGGAACACTGTCAGTCCACAGCCAGTGGCAGGAGAGACATGGACGTGTCCTAAGGGATCGGGTGATGGCATGGGGGGCACACACTTCTCCCTCCCAGAAGCCCCCCAGGCGGCACTGCCGGGGCCTGGGGCCCGAGAGCCCTGGCAGGGACACAGCTGGGGGTGGCGGGACCTGGACCGAAGCTGGTGGGCTTGGGTCAGAGTGGCGGCTGCCACTTCTAATCACCGAGTCCTGGGAATGAGGCGGGCCCAGGTGTACTCAGCGCGCATGACAACACGAAGCCGTTTAACCCACAGTTTCCCTGTCCCTCTGGGACGTATAAAGAATTCCAAAGTAAACAGGAAGAACGTTCGAAAGACTTTCCTATTTCTAAATTAGCGCACAGTCAAGGCGCTCTGCTCCCTGCAGACACAACAACAGGAAGTTCACAAAAGGCGGAGTCACTGGGCCGGGCCGACCACCGAGGCAGCGGCTTCCGACCGCCTTCAGCAGAGCGCGGCCAGCCCCACGTGCTCACGGCACACGCCTCGCGGGCAGGGATGTGCGGGCGTCCCGCGTGACGAGAACGCAGTGTGTGCGCTACAGGCCCTCCGCTGCTGGCAGAGGTCAGAGACGGACATACACTCCGGAACCGCAGCGAGGAAGGGACGCTGCAGAAGCAGACAGGAACGAAGAGTCTGGGCTGCTTTCTCTCATGAATCGCATTTTTGTTTAATTCTCCTTAAGGCTCTGATGACGAAAAGGCACCTTTCTTGCCCACAACATCCAGGAGTCGCGAGCGCGCGTGGAAGTCCCCTTGGCAACTCCGCAGGCTCCGTGCTTTAGTGATCACCTAATACTATCTTGAACAAATCTTGTTGAAAAACAAAACAAAACACTTTGGGATCATTTTAAAAACACCACAGTGAAGCTCAATAACTCTACCAAAATCTCCAGGAATGGAATCT